ATTATAAGATTAAAATAAATGATTTCATTGTTTTCTGAAACCACAACAATAGCATCGTCTAATATGTGAGTTACACCATCAAAATATAAATCATCCAAACAGACAAATTAAACCAAAAACGCACAAACCTTCTGATACCCACAGCTAATAATGAAGCAAGTGGTTGTTGCACGGGTATCGCATAACCTTTCCGTTCCACTTCAGCGTATAACATCTCTTCACTCGGTATCAAAAACATATCGTCAATTTCTAACCGTTCATCATCACTCAACCCTTGCACATTCTTACTTCGGTGACCGTATCGTTCATCGTACTGAATATATTCACCTTCTGAATGCTTCCCAAATGGTCTACCTCGCAAAACCTTGCGGTTGACATTTCTCATTAAACCTTACTTAAGTGCATAAATGAATTCAAAAACAAATGCCGCTGTAAACAAAACATAATGATCCAATAACCAACGTTGATTTCTTTTAATCAATGAAAATGCTATACTGATTGCAACTGATTAAGTCAAAAAACTGAACAATTAAAATTCTTTGATGCTTCTAAACAATTCAATCATTCTGATGGAAATTCCTCCACTCTTTTAACTACTCTCCACGAAACGACAATTTGATAGTGAAGTTGCAAAAAATAAAACAATTAAAATTGCATACTTTCGGAGTAAACGAAGGGAATAGGGAATCGAAATTCGGTCTTGACATCAATACACCACTTTCTTGTTGTTGTCTCTGGTGTGATTTACTGATGATTGACTGGATTACAGGATCGCTGGCCGCATACTCATGCTGATCTTTTGTCTGAAATTAAAACTGTTGAGCTGAAAACTTGCCTAAATTAAAAAATTGAAAAAAAATAGAAATTTTTAAAAAAATTTCTGAAATCTTTCGTTCGAAACTGAAAAACTGGCTAATGAATCTAGACACATATTTACAGGTTTATATGTAAATCTCCTCATTGGTTCAATTGAATCTATTCACCTGAACTTTCGTCCAAATAGTTCATAGCATCCAAATGAAACAATGCCATACGATGCGAAGAAAACAATGCGAATGTGTGTTAGTCATCGAAATCAAACACAAAACTATCATATCTGATGGATTATCCACGTACCTCATTCACGGTTCTCTTGTCCAAATCAAAATCCACAATCAACGCTCTCTTTTGACGGGCACGCATTTGTTTCAGCTCCTCTTTTCGGGCAATTATCGCTTCTCGTTCCTTACAATTACAATACGAACTGTATGATTTTAAATGCATGCATGCTCGTTACCGTCATTTTCAAAACCATCACAAAATACACCTAACTGTTGATTCAATAAATGAAATACCACTCACAAAAAATGAACCGAATCTATTTCTGTGATATGTAAACTGGATACTGATCTGTTGAATTTTCAATATTTTATGGTTGGAATCTATCAATGTTGTGATTAAATATTCAGCAAATTTATGCTAAGGGATAAACGATATTTCATGAAGTTAACCAGTCCCAGCTCACAACCAAAATGGATAGACTGAACTGATTGAAACATCAGAGTCGATCATTTAATGCGCCAATCCCATACCTCTTTTGTCAAATAAGCATTGTTTTCCATATTATAGTAATCCGACTCCAAATCATGCACGTGTGTTTGCCGTTCCCTATCGGCATCTGCTGT